AATCGGATCTGTTGGATTTACAACACGTGAATTAATCCACTCCCGAAATACTTAAAAGTAAGTGGCTGGTGAACTGGGAGAAGAATAGAGTAAACATTAAAGTTACTTACACAATGTGTATCTGATATGAATAAAACGTGTCGAATTATGGAAAGGATTATTATTACCTCTTCCATAGACATCAGTCTGTATTTTACAAACTCTAACGTTAAATATTTTGTTTTTTTAGTACTTGGGTGAATTTAGGGGGGGCATAAACCTCTCATAAAGCATAAAGCTCTAATTCACAATGAGAACCAACTTGTGCCAAGTCATTGATAAAGATCGAGAAAAGTAAGGGGCCTAAAGTTGAGCCTTGAGGAACACCTTTATCAACAATTAAATAATCTGACTGGAATCCTTGGTAAACAACACACTGACGTCTATTAAGTAAATAGTAGTTGAACCAGAGCACAGCATGTTTATTCAAACCAATAGAGTGAAGCTTATCCAGTAGAAGGTAATGGTCAACCATATCAAAGGTCTTTGAGAGATCAATGAAAGCAGCTCCAATGATAATGGTCATTTCATTGGAGCTGCTTTCATTGATCTCTCAAAGACCTTTGATATGGTTGACCATTACCTTCTGTAGATACCTTGTGTAGATAAAATGTTATAATTGTTAATGTACTCAGTTAGTTGATTTAAAATTAATTTCTCAAATATTTTAGCAACTGCACAAATTATAGAAATCGGGCGATAATTGTTCACATCGGATTGGTCTCCACCTTTGAAAAGAGGTGTCACTCTTGCAGCTTTCCAAATTTGTGGCACAGTACAGGTAGTTAATGATAGATTTAAAAGATCTGCAAGAGGAAAAATCAATATGTGAGCTGCAAGTTTGATAAACTTAACTTCCAGATCATCTGGTCCTGCACTGCATTTTAATTTAAGGTCCTGTAATACATAAAGACATCAGTAGGCATGATCTTTTTAAATGAAAAAGAGCCAGCAGGCATGGAAGAATAAGAAGACCATGCCAAACCATCAGAGCAAACAGATTTTGAACTACATAAAGACGAAAAATGATGATTAAAGGCATGAGCTATATGCAAAGGATCATGTCATTATGTCATTATCCTTGCGTATTTGTTTCACAAAAGTTTTTTTTAGTTTTTTATTAAGAATGTTATTTATGGGATTCCAGAAGTGCCACTGGATGAAAATTTTTGAAAACTGTCTCCACTGATAAATAACACTAAGGCTAACTTGGAAATGAGGCCCGATGTCCAAAATTCTGAACCACCCCTTTAAATAAAGTTATAAAGTTTGTGGTGGTCAACAATAAAGTGCTTCAAATAAACCATCATGTCCAGAGTGAGACGAGGTAAAAATACAACGTCATTATTTGAAGTAAAAACAACAACAACAAACAACTCCAGTTTGTGTGTCCTGGAGGAACAATGTCAGCAAATAACAGTGTGGTGTTTCACAAGTGTAATGTTGAGTCAGAGGCATTTGGATCCATTTGCAGTAGTTTATTCACACATGCAATAAAGCAGAGAGAATCAGACATGAACAGAAACAGGCTCAGATAAAGGGACAATCCAGTACTCGTAATGAAACACAGGCAAAGGTCAAGGCAGGCAGCAAAGGTTCACAGAGTCTAGAGTCCAGGCAGAGATCTAAGGTCCAGATAATAAGCGGAGACAGGGAATAACGCTTGGTAATGCAGAGCAAAACAAGACTTCGCAAAGCATCAATGAAAGGGACAGTCCAGATAAAGGGGAGATAATGATGAACAGGTGAAGAGGATGATCAGATAAACCAGGCAGGGATGGAGATTGATAATCCGTGACGACAAGACACAACATCTAAATAGAATTGAAGTAACCTTTGTGGGACAGTTTTACACTCAACAATCAATTAATACATCCTAGAAAGCAAATCCTGTTCTGATATAACGAGAAATAAAGATATAAAGAGAAGACCATGCATTATATGAAATGAGTTATTGCAATGCAAACATGAAAATACTTCAATGTAGTAAAGTCCCCCTGTAGTCAATAATTGTAAAACTCATCTTTAAACAGCCAAATTACATATTTAAAGTTTTTTTCTTAAATTTTTTTGTATTTATGTCTTAAAAATATCTTGAATGTAACTCGACACCCTTGCCTCATTTAGTATACGTGGTTCTATGAATATGTAAATGAGCCCCGCCTCCACTCACTCACTCACTCAGCTCAGAGATCCACTGGTTGACGATCACACGTTGATCTGATTGGTTACAAGGTTGTTTGTGACGTCAGAAACACCAGCGATTTCAAACCGATCTCACGACCAATTCGTCCGAATTTGACGAGTGATTAAAAGATGGCTAATTTGTAACAATTCGTACGACCTCACTCGTACGAATTAGTACGATTTTTGCTAAAACGTACATATTTGACGAGTTGCCCAATTCGTATGAATTCGTACGAATGACCTACCCCTGACCCCGCCCCTAAACCTACCCATCACGTGGGTTTAGGCAAATCGTACAAATTCGTACGAATGAGGTCGTACGAATTCGTACGAATTAGCCATATTTTAATCACTCGTCAAATTCGGACGAATTGGTCGTGAGATAGCGTTGGCGATTTCGTGTTTTTGAGACTACTCAGAATACTCAGCAATGCTGTCGACTTATGAACTTACACATGGTTTGTCTTAAAGCGTATTAAAAACACCACATAGACACATAAACAACATTAAAAGCTGGATTTAAAACAGAATTTACACATGGTTTGTCTTAAAGCATATTAAAAACACCACATACACAACAATCCGTGGCGGCGGTTTTGCAATCTGTCCCCTCAGTTTATAAACTCACAAATTCTTAAACTGTTCCCTCGGTTTAACAAATCGTGCCCGCGGATTAATAAACCATACCCACGATGAGTTCCTAATCCGGGCTCTCAGATTTGTAAACCATGCCTTCAGATTTTGCAATCTGTACCCACAAATTCACAAACTGTGCCCACACTTTCCAATTTGTGGCCCCTCCCCCAGTCTGTGCCAGATGATCCAACCAGGCCTGTTTAGGTGCGATGCATTGCAGTGTGTTTAAATTTTTTTTTTTTTTTTTTTTTTGGATAATTTCTTGAATTTTTGAAAAAACGACATTTACTTGTATCTTTAAAGTCCATTTTTGGAAGGAAGAAGCTCAGTATAATAGAATAAGCAAAAAAAAAAGAAAAAAAAGAAGAAGAAAAAAAAAGACTCACATTTCCAAAACTGTAAAACATTAGCTTATATAAAAATAAAACATTCATAAATTATTATATGATAAACATATTACTGTCTTAAGTGAACTCATTTATAGTTATAAATGCAAATTATAGGCTACATGTTACGACCCTTGGCTCAAGGGAAGCAACAAAAACAAGGGACACGGGTAAACCAAATTGTAAGCTCAAAAGTGTTTATTCAACTACAAAAATAAGACAAGACTAAATAATAGAATCGAAACAATTAAAGAAAATAAGAGTGTTTCTGTATTCATCAGCAAGATCAGTGTGTAAATCAAGATGCATGGTTGAAAGTGTAATGCAATGTTGAAGTTGAAATGTAAATGCAAAAGGTCACAGAATACAATGGAAGCAAAAACCAAACGCAAAGTCCAAGACCAAAGTTCCCTCTGTTGGCTCAGTTTGTGATCTCTTAAGAAGTGTCTAAGGCACGGTCACGGGTGTTTCCAGTTGACTGCCAATTGAGGTAATGGGCTTTATGCACAGCTTCACTACTTCCTGAACTTCAGCCAGCTCCTTTGTTTCCTGTCTGCCATTATTGGACAAACTGATTAATCCAGGTGTGCCTGATTATTGTTACTGAGATCAGGCACACCTGGATTAATCAGTTTGTCTAATAATGGCAGACAGGAAACAAAAGAGCTCGCTGAAGTTCAGGAAGTAGTGAAGCTGTGCATAAAGCCAATTAGTGGGCTCAGGTACCAAACTGCAATTCCCAAAACCAACAGCAGAGGTCGTCACACTACATATTTAGAAGACGCTTTTATCCAAAAAAGGAACAAAGCAATTCGTCAAATGTCAGTCATAATACAGGTTAGACAATAATGATACAGGGCTAATTATCACAAATAAACACTTTTGAAGCATATCCAAGTGATTGTGCGTATATTTGTGTTATATACAATATATCGGATATCGGATGTTTTGATATTTGGGTACCTTTATTTGTGTAAACTCATAATAAATAGAAAACGTTGTGCTTTTGTAAAATAAAAGAAAACAATTAGGCGCGCTTTCATGATCTCTGTAAACTGGAGCGCGTCTCAAAAAAGAACTGAAACAAAATCTAGCCTACCTATATAAAGCTTGAAATGTCCGAAATTGAAATTTCTCTCTCTTACAGCGGAGATGGAGATATGTTTGCAGCCAACACTGATTTAGAAAACACTAGTTTATTAATAAACAATTAAAATGCCTCGTTATTTTTCAGACACATTTATTATCATTAGCCTATAAATCACATATATCACTTCTCTGTATGGTTTCAGAGACATGGCTTTTCTCATTCAGCACTGCGGGAAAAAGATCATTTTCAGGTTCTAATTTGGCCTTAGAAAACCAGTAAAATATAATATTTTTCCATATTAATTTGTGAATATTTGAAATGTTTAATAAAGGGGCAAAAAACCATAAGCAAACATCTGAAAATACGTCAATATTTATTTTAATGGGCAGCATTTGGTTTGTACAGTTCAAATAAAAATGTTATTGTACAGAGACCTTAAAAAAATCCTTTTAAAAAAGTGATTCAGACAGTCAATTAAAACTAACAATTTGAAAAGATTTGTCGTTATACATTATTTATTTTACATTATTTTACTTCTTGTTTTTAAAGATTTGGGATGAGGATTTTTAAAAACTTTTTTTCAGCATAAAACATTTTTAGTAAAGTGAAGTAAATATGGTGTTGTTCACATCTTCACATGCACACACTGACACAGGCACTGAGGGTTTGAATATTGAGGGATGAAACAGTTGTCAATAGTTCCTCTATACAGTACGGCAGCTCATTGTGTGTCTGTTATTAGATCAGAATATTTTCTGCATGCGGTTAGAAGTGTTCAGAAGGGTTCCAGGGGCTCACTGTTGGATTCAGGGAACTGGACTCCAGTCACATTCAGTTTCCTTTGAAAATCTTGAAATATCATTGCATGAACGCACACATCTTCTCCAACACACACCTGAGAGAGAGAGAGAGAGAGAGAGAGAGAGAGAGAGAGAGAGAGAGAGAGAGAGAGAGAGAGAGAGAGAGAGAGAGAGAGAAATCCACATGGATTTATAATTGATCTCTTCCATGTTACTCTGTTAACGTAGAAACTACTAGGGGAATTAATTAATTACATGCACCAAGGGGTGAGACATACTGCCTCGATGTTCCACACATGGCCCGTCCAAATAAACTATACTCAAGGGCCAGTTCGAGCTGGAAGGCCTTCCACGAACTTTCAAATCCACCGAGCCCCTTCTGGTGGTGCAGAAGATCGAAGAGTGTGCTACTCAGGTACGTAGCAATTGGCTTTACAATGTGCCTTAAACCTAGGCCATCCTTAAAAGGTAGGAGCATCGGCACCGTCTCAAACAAATTGTCAAGCATCATTTGGTCAAAAAAACTGATGGCATCCACAACCTCAGGAAAGCCAGGCCTAACAATTAAACACCCTCCAGCCTCACAAAGGTCCTTCATCCAGATCATCCATGTGGTCCACATACGCTTTGGCATCCTTGAGAATCATCCGCCGATGCTTCTCGATGTGAAGGTCACATGTCGTTATCACCCTACTCGCAGGGTGCTTAGCGGGGGTGGCCTGGTGGCAGTGTGGAGTCACTGCATACAACTGCAAGAAGTTTACCTTGCAATTGACATGACGCACAACCTGGTCAAGAGTATTACTCACATCAAGTGGCATCTGGTCAAGGTTAGACTGAAAATTGGCACTTTCAGCCATGGAATAGACAGGAAACAGAGTGTCACGTTGTCCAACCACCTACTGGAGCCCACACCTAGACCACAAGAGGTCAACAGATGGGTCCTGCGAATGAATGTTGCAGGGAACATGATAGGACACATTCACAATGCCATTTAGATGAACCAGCTTGCTCAGGTCGAAGCTTCGATCATCCTTTTGACCAAACTTACTAATGGTCAGAATTATTGCCATATCGATGTCTTGATTGACAGCCATTACAGATTGATGGAAGTGTCGGAGGATGAATTTCTGGTCCACATTCAAAATGTTCATCCTGCCCAAGTTAGTGAGATTCTTCTTCTGTAGAGTAGGCCGCTCCAGATCTTGTGGTGGCACACTTCTCAGTCTCAATGAGGAATTATTGAAGACTGCATTAATCAGGCCAATGGCATGGGCCTTGACTACCATCTCACTCCTGAACATAGGGTGAGTGCTGTTCGAGTTAGCAGGAACACAGGTTAGATTGAGAAAATATCCCCCATCAACAAAGGCCAGAACAATCCCAACACTTTTTCTGAGAGCACTGACCCCGTCAGCACTGTACTTTAAAAGGTCCAGATGCTTTTTGATCAGGCGCCAGTGGTTGCACACTTTGGATCCATCCACTTTCCCGACAAACAAATAATGGATTCCAGCTGTGATGTAGCTTACATCAGCTAGATGCACCACAATGCCGTCAAAATCATAATTGAAGAATTAATTTCATCCATTAACATAACGCATTCATTTTCCATGATAGCAAGCAAACTCCCTCAAACTCTGCTATACACAGTGACCGTTGCCGACTAGATTTGAGTGTCCAGCAACGCTGCAAAGTTGAGAAAAATGTTATCTTATACACTCACCTGAAGGATTATTAGGAACACCTGTTCAATTTCTCATTACTGCAATTATCTAATTAACCAATCACATGGCAGTTGCTTCAATGCATTTAGGGGTGTGGTCCTGGACTGCGTTTCCCAAAAGCATCGTAAGCCTAAGTTGATCGTAGAGACCATTGGTGGCAATTGTTCTACGATCAACTTAAGCTTACGATGCTTTTGGGAAACCCAACCCTGGTCAAGACAATCTCCTGAACTCCAAATTGGATGCCAGAATGGGAAAGAAAGGTGATTTAAGCAATTTTGAGCGTGGCATGGTTGTTGGTGCCAGACGGGCCGGTCTGAGTATTTCACAATCTGCTCAGTTACTGGGATTTTCACGCACAACCATTTCTAGGGTTTACAAAGAATGGTGTGAAAAGGGAAAAACATCCAGTATGCGGCAGTCCTGTGGGCGAAAATGCCTTGTTGATGCTAGAGGTCAGAGGAGTATGGGCCGACTGATTCAAGCTGATAGAAGAGCAACTTTGACTGAAATAACCACTCGTTACAACCGAGGTATGCAGCAAAGCATTTGTGAAGCCACAACACGTACAACCTTGAGGCGGATCGGCTACAACAGCAGAAGACCCCACCGGGTACCACTCATCTCCACTACAAATAGGAAAAAGAGGCTACAATTGGCAAGAGCTCACCAAAATTGGACAGTTGAAGACTGGAAAAATGTTGCCTGGTCTGATGAGTCTCGATTTCTGTTGAGACATTCAGGTGGTAGAGTCAGAATTTGGCGTAAACAGAATGAGAACATGGATCCATCATGCCTTGTTACCACTGTGCAGGCTGGTCGTGGTGGTGTAATGGTGTGGGGGATGTTTTCCTGGCACACTTTAGGCCCCTTAGTGCCAATTGGGCATCGTTTAAATGCCACGGCCTACCTGAGCATTGTTTCTGACCATGTCCATCCCTTTATGGCCACCATGTACCCATCCTCTGATGGCTACTTCCAGCAGGATAATGCACCATGTCACAAAGCTCGAATCATTTCAAATTGGTTTCTTGGACATGACAATGAGTTCACTGTACTAAAATGGCCCCCACAGTCACCAGATCTCAACCCAATAGAGCATCTTTGGGATGTGGTGGAACGGGAGCTTCGTGCCCTGGATGTGCATCCCACAAATCTCCATCAACTGCAAGATGCTATCCTATCAATATGGGCCAACATTTCTAAAGAATGCTTTCAGCACCTTGTTGAATCAATGCCACGTAGAATTAAGGCAGTTCTGAAGGCGAAAGGGGGTCAAACACAGTATTAGTATGGTGTTCCTAATAATCCTTTAGGTAAGTGTATATAGGCAACAAATGCAGAGGAACTTTATACAGTGACTTGATGCAGTTTAACTTTCAGAGAGGACGGAGAAATGACTGGACACATCACATCCGTTCAGGACACACTGCCACAGTTGGCTTGTTGATATTGGAAACAAACGGAAGAGTGGAAGAGTTTCAGTGATGAAAATATCAAGCTCAAAATCCATGAAAAACAAAACACTCCTTTACCTTGACCAGATAGTTTATTCCTGCCACAACCTGAAGCCTGAAGCTTAATGGACTGTAAACAGGAAAATTGGTTCCAACCGCCGTCTCTATGTCTGGCTTCACCTGAATAAACAAACACACACTATATATATTCATCTATATTATTCTTATATATAAAAAAGTTTATTAGTCTATAGTCCAAGTTACGTCTATCATTCAGATATCAGAAAACTCATGTGACATGTTTTGTGACTTTGAGTGAAAAGTAAAACAGTTATTTTAAAAATGACAACAAATAATTTCCCCAACACATTTTACAGCACCAAATTAGATCATTTTACAAGGTTGTTTTAACAGAAACTGCATTTAAAGTGATTTTCTGTCTCCTACCGTAATGCAGATCTTCTTCATCTCTTCAGTGACAGGCGCCTCTGTTCTCCATCCGCCAAGGTTGGACATTTCTGCAGTGCTGGTGATCAAAGCCTGGGTGAAATAACTGTATTATCAGGTAGTCTGTCTCACAGATTGATTCGGATCCACTATTTATGCTAAATAGGCGGAGTTTCACTTTGGGGTGTTGTGTAATATTCAGTTCATGTGAAAAACTGTTACGAATGGAACTGAAGATATTAGTGCATGCTCCTCAAATTGCATTATTTAAATGTAATATGTAATATTCAGTTTTGTAATATAATAAATCGTCTGAGCTATTTCAGATAAATAATGACTCAACAGCAAACATTGAGTGAATAACCTATGCTAGTTTAGGCTAATACAGCTTTTTACTCTTTGATGTCTTTAGCTTTTTTTTATTTCATTTGTGAGGCTTCAAATTTAATTTGTATAGTTTGATTAGTTGTCATTACAGGTTACTACAGTGTATCAACTACAACAATGCCTGAAATAAACAAAAACAAACGTATCTGTGGCCTTATAACATGTATATACGCTAGTCTGGTGTGAGTATTCTTCATTTCTTGGTTATTTTGAATATAGCCGGTGTTTCCCAGCCTCCACAGTGCCATCAGTCGAGCTCAAGTTCCCTTTATCAACACCAAACCGCACGTTTTCATGTTTTCTTATCATTAAAGTCACACAAGTAAATGCACATTTACTTGTATCGGTCACATATGTTTTTTAAGCTTTAATAAAGCAACATTAAAATGTTTTCCATATTTCCCTGTTTGGGAATCACTCTCCAAGTACTAATAGATTAAAGGTGTAGTTCACCCAAAAATGCTAACAATGTCATCATTCACTCACCAGTTCAAAACCAGTATGACTTCTTTTTTTCTGTGTAACAGGGAACCAGTTGAACCAGTGCCCCTTGACTTATATTGTACAGTATGTACAACATGATTTACACATTTTTTTATGGACAAAAAACATATTCGCACACTTATCACACAACTTTGACACAACATGAGGGCGACAAAATTGTTTGTGTGGTTTAATCAATTTGAACTCGTTACTTTTCAGCGGCTACGGGAAATTGTAAGTAACCTGAAACCTACCGGGTCAGCTATAGACATGGTTCCTCCTTGGTTCCTGAAAGAAAATTTTGAGACTTTTGGACCTAGTATTCATCAGATTGTGAATAAAAGTTTAGATACAGGTATTTTTCCTAACATGCTGAAACAGGCGTTTGTGCAACCCGTGCTAAAAAAAACAAATTTAGATCCAACTGACCTGAATCATTTTAGACCGGTCTCGCATCTCTCATTTATGTCAAAAATTTTAGAAAAAGTGGTGCTCAATCAATTACAGTTTTATTTAGAACAGAATAAGATTGGTGAAGGTTACCAGTCTGGTTTTAAGAGGCTTCATTCTACAGAGACTGCCCTTGTAAAAGTGTTCAATGATTTATTGATGACAGTGGATTCTGGTCATTCAGCAGTGTTAGTTTTATTAGATTTAACCGCAGCCTTTGATACAATAGATCACGCGGTGTTGCTGTCGCGGCTAGAGGAATATGTAGGGATTCCGGGGAAGGCCCTAAATTGGTTTTGGTCATACCTGACTGAAAGAAGCATGGCAGTGAAATTCGGCCAGTATACATCAAGTTCTACACCACTGATATGCGGTGTGCCACAAGGCTCTATTCTGGCCCCAACACTTTTTTCACTTTACATGCTGCCGTTGGGAGATATTTTTAGGAGGTATGACATTGCATTTCATTGCTATGCAGACGACCTGCAAATATACTTACCATTAATAAACGGAAGTAGCCTGGAGCCTCTAATGTCCTGCCTGTCTGAACTTAAATCATGGTTGGCCTTTAACTTTCTATATCTTAATGAAAATAAGACGGAGATTGTAGTATGCGGGTCTAGAAGAACAAGGAGATTAGCGGAGTTACATTTCGGCCCACTCTCAATACATGTTAAAGAACGTGTTAAAAACTTGGGTGTTTACATCGATAGCTCTCTGAAGCTAAATGCACAGATAAACCATGTGGTGAAGACAAGTTTCTTTCACTTGAGAAACTTGGCTAAGATGAAATCGTGTTTGACGTATAAGAGCCTGGAAATTGCTATTCATGTCGTCATGAACTTGATTATTGTAACTCTTTATATAAGGGAATTAGTCAAGCTTCTTTTTTACGGCTGCAAAAGGTCCAAAATGCGGCAGCAAAATTATTATTGAATATTAAAAAACGAGAACACATCACTCCATCTTTGATCGCTCTACATTGGCTTCCTGTACAATATAGAATTGATTTTAAACTTCTTTTATTGGTGTATAAATCACTCCATGACCTTACACCGACTTATTTATCAGCTCTGTTAATAGAGTATCAATAAGGAAGAGCCTTGAGATCATCAACTCAAAAGTTGCTGAAAATTCCACGGACTAAGTTAAGCCAGAAAGGGGATCGGGCTTTTGCAGTAGTAGCGCCAAGACTTTGGAATAGTTTGCCATCATATGTTAGGGATGCTGACTCTGTACATGCTTTTAAAGTACAACTGAAGACATATCTGTTTGCCATGGCTTATTCGTCTTAAATGTTTTATTTTTTATTTTTTATTCTATTACTATTGTAGTATGTTTCTCTATCTATTTTTCAGTGAGAATGTAAAGCACATTGGTCAACTTGTGTTGTTTGAATAGTGCTATATAAATAAAGGTGACATTGACATTGTATGAGAAAACGAACAGTAATTATATAGTTTTTACCTCTTGTAACCACAGCCACATCCAAGTGATCTGAGGGCGCGGGCGCTTCGGTCTCTCGCGCGTGTACGCCCTCGGATCACTTGGATGTGGCTGTGGTTACAAGAGGTAAAAACTATAGTGGACTTGGACTTCTCTGTAGTGGTGGGTAGATCGAGGCTTCGTGAAACAGTAGCTGCGTTTACATGGACACTTATAATCGGATTCACGACTCAATCGGACTACAAAACCTTCATGTAAACACCTTAATCGATCCGATTGAGCTCGATCCGATTGAAATTTTGATCGGATTGAAAGGGGTGGTTTACTCCTTTTGTAATCCGAATCCGATTGAGGGAACATGGAAACACTTGATCGGATTGAAAACCGAAACTATAAGGACTGCGCATGTGCAATGACGTTGAAATAGCGTAATGACGTATGACGCACGGAACGAGCTGTTCTTCTTGTTGAATAAAGTGAATATAAATGAGTGTTCCGTTATTAAAAAATTCTCATTTCACTCAGCGTCTGTGAAGTGAAGCAGGACAACGTCCCACCAGTGCTTGTTTCAGATTATCATCCATGGACGACTGGTTTTGGGCGCCTCAATCAATTTACTGCCTGATCAATTTAAACAGCACGGCAAAACGGTTCATGCTCATCGTCTCCAAATCATGACCAGAGACGGATATATATTAAGTCTGCTGTTTAAAAAAAAAAAAAAGAACCAATAGAGGAGAATAGTTGTGCATGAACAGCGGCATATTCGTGCAGTGTGCGCATGTCAAAAATCAATTCCGATTTGAATCTTGTGACATATAAACGCGCACATCAACCCGATTACTTTATTTATCGTTCATGTAAACACCGTGTTTGGATTCATCAATCGGATTGATTTCATTCCGACTGACCCATGTAAACGCAGCTACTAAAACAGTTGAAGCAAATGTGCCATATTGTGTCGAGGCTTCGAAACAATCCGACAACACCCGTCTCAACGGTGACACCTAGTGGTCACTTGCAGGTGTTGATCTGATACAACCTTGACAACCTTTTTTTTTTCTTTTTTTTTTTTCCTAATATGTGAAGCTTGTACCCATAGACTGTAAAAAAAGATGGACGACGCCCCTTTGCTCTTTTCCATTGGAGAGAACTGAAGCCGCCAGTGTCCCGATATGGCGCTGACATATTGGAACTTGAGTCTGCGCAGTAGCGTTTTCAGGACCAGACATGCGCAGTCGTGAGCCGGAAGTAAAGCCGCGAAATCAAGGCCCCGCCCTCACTCTCGCTGAATCAATCGCAAGCACACGCCCTGCACTTTTCTTAAGTGGCCTCTGTCTGCTCCGTTCCTCTCAAATGATGTCTGCTGATTGCAGTACCTCGTTAAAATAAGGTAAATACAACTACTAAACAGATAGTCAACATTATGAAAAAAAGTCCGTTGGTGCTTCAGTGACTTCTTCGCACAGAGAACCTGTCAATCACAGCTGTCAATCATGATGTCACAGCACCGTTTTTATAGCATCAAATAACTAACTAAAAACAAACTTATTTTAAAAACAAACACTTGAAATTACATCAACGTGATAGAAAGTACAGTAAATGACAGAAACTATCTTTATAAAAAAGATATGTGAAGTGTAATTTAATTATTTAGTTGGTCTCACGTCCCATTGAATAACATGGGGAGGCGGGGCTTATGAACTATACTAGGATCGGTCACCGGGGGGCGATCGAGACGTTTTGGCTTCACTTTTGAGGGCTTGTGCGGCACGCTTGCTTGTACCCTGTAGGCTCCTCACTCTGCATAATGTTATTTTGGTCATGAAAAATTCATATCAAGCCACAATGTCTCACTTTTTTATAGATTTTTATTCAAAAATATTAATTTCTCTGCTGTCGAAGGACTTAGCCGACATCTTTTTTTTTTTACAGACAATTTCTACAGCCTTTGAAATAATCCTCTCACAAGGGACAGTTGCTGGCATGAAAAGACATTTTTGATCCATAAATCTATTAGCAAAACCAAAATGATGTCTTGGCTGTAGATTGGGTACTCATATGTAGACCTATACAATGTATATTCACAAAATATTATATTATATTGACAACATATTCTATTATATTCACAGTGAAGCTGTTTTTAACATGATTGGCAGTCATGATTGTGACGTTAGGTTGTAGGGCTTAGGTTGACACAGGCCTATGGACTTTCTAAACAGTGTCCCAACAGTTTGTTATTATATTTGAATTATAATTATATTTCAGACAATGCATACCTTGCTTAGATGGCCCAGCAGTGTCAGTAGCAGGCCTAGGTACAGGGGGAATGCTACCATCCTCTGCAACCTGCAGAAAGGCAGGATGAG